TTTTTCTTTTAAATTTTCGTAATTCGACGTATAATTTAATTTTTGAATATGAATGTGTGTACGTAGGTTAATGAAATTTGAAAAGGAAAAATACGCAAGAATCGGAGTTATGCCTCGTTACGGAGACGCCGATTCCATGCGTTGGTTCGAAGTGGAGCCATGTACTGCATTTCACATTATCAATTGTTATGAGGAAGGTGACGAGGTAATTATTGTTTTTAATTATTTTTTTTTTTTTAAAAAAGGAATAATTATGCAATTAATTTAATTAATATACTTAATTAATAATTACAGGTGGTGGTAATGGCATGTAGAGCTGAGTATTCAATAATTCCAGGACCACCGGAGATGGGCATCGACAAATATGATTGGTTCTCCAGAGGATTAAAACATTTAAATAATTCATTAAATAATAATAATAATAATAATAATAATAATAATATTGATAATAAAAAAAATAATAATAATATTGATGAAGAGGGTTTTCTATTTTGTCGTCCATATATGTGGAGAATTAACATGGAAAGTGGAATAGTAGAGAATCAGAGTTATATAACAGGATCTGAATTTTCAATGGATTTTCCTATGATTAATCACAATTTTACAGGAATCAGAAATAACTATGGCTATGCACAAGTTGTTGATTCCACTGCCAGCTCTGCTGCAGGTACTGCTATGTCTATATATATTTAAATTTTAAGTTCAAAAAAAAAAATCCTGGTTTTTTTTTTTTTCTAAATATATATTTAGAATTAGTTCTTGTTTTGATTATAATATTGTTGTTTTAATTTATTGAGAAAATATTTTCACAGGCATGGTCAAGTATAATGGGCTGGCCAAACTATGTCTAGAAGATATAACTCTCTCCAAGGTGAGTAATCTCTCTCTCTCTCTCTCTAGATCTATGTATCTCTCTCTAAACTGTGGGGATTTGATGCTACACTGTGGTGATAGGGATGGTTCAATGAGTTGAGCCGACTCGTGAGCTCGGTGAGTCGGCTCGGAAAAAAACTCGAACTTTATATATATATATATATATATATATATATATATATATATATATTTATATATTATTGGTTATTTTGTAATTTTTTACTATAACCTAAATATTTTTTTAATAATAAAAAATTAATAGAAAAAAAAAACGAAAAGTGAGCTTGGAGTCGAGCTCGAGCCAAAATAAAAAGAAACTCGACGAGCTTGAGCTCGGCAAAATGAACGCGAGCTCGGCTCGAGCTCAAGCCTACCAAAACAGGCGAGCTCGACTAGGTCATACCCCTACCTGGTGATATACACCCGGTGTTTTTTAATCCTTGATTTGATATAATGTCAAACACACACACACAGATCTATATGTATGTGTACTTAGTGGATGGTTATTTAACCTAGCTCATCAACAGTTAAAAAGCATATGGTGTATATCACCGGGTGTAGCATCGTCTAAACCTCTCTTTTAACACTAATATATTGCGTGAAATTAATTAGGGCAAGAAAGATGCAGAGGAATTTGCAAAAGTTCAGTACCATATGTTTCCAGAAAACGCATTCTGCACGGGATCTGCATTTGTGGCAAAAAATGGAGATAATGTTGAAGAAGACGATGGTTGGATCGTCACTTTCGTTCATAACGAGACCACCGACATTTCTCAGGTTTATCACCAATTTCTCGTCAATTTCTCATTGCGTTTGATATTTACGATATATTGTATACGATGGCATTTAATTTAATTTTAATTTTTATAATGTAAATGTAATATATTTCAGGTGTACATAGTTGATGCAAAGAATTTTTCTAGTGAACCGGTTGCCAAAATTACACTTCCATGCAGAGTGCCTTATGGATTTCATGGAGCTTTCATGCCCTTTTCGAGTAAACCGGTCTTGTAGATGCTAAATCTGATGAAATAATAATATAGATCGGATACTTTTTTATGTATAAATATCGCACACGTGTTACTTTATGTAAAATATTTATGGATCCAGGGGCGGACCTAGCTTGTTTGCAATGGTAGGACTTAGACATGGCCACGGGCCGGGTCGGACCCGGACCCGCTCCGGCGACCGCCCCGCCCCGCTCCGGCCCCACCCCGTTGACCATGGACCCGGACCCGAAAATGTATGGGTCGGTTTCGGGTCCCGATCTTTAGGACCCGAGGACCCGTCGGGTCCCCCCGAATTTTTTTTTTTTTTTCAAATTTTAAAAATGCAACGGTTATAAACCGGACCCGACCCGGACCCGAACCGGACCCGGCCCGGACCCGGTCCGGGAATTCAAAAAATGTTTTTTTTTTAAATTACAACGGCTATAAACTCAGGTCCACCCGGACCCGACCCGGAACCGAACCGGACCCTACCCGAAAATTTCAAAATTTCTTTTTTTTTTAAATTTCAACGGCTATAAACTCGGGTCCACCCGGACCCGACCCTGACCCGAACCGGACCCGACCCGGAAATTCAATTTTTTTTTTTTTTTTTTTTCAACAGCTATAAACTCGGGTCCGAACCGGACCCGACCAGTCGAAAGTTCTGATTTATTATCTGGTACTTATTATCCTACTGCTCATTTAGTTGTTTATCAGTTATGCAATATTGCCGGTGTTATTAACGAAGCTATGCAAATTGAAATTTTAGTTCCTTGTCTGAATGAAATTAAGAAAAAATTCTGCAAATATTATATGAATATTCCTGAATTATATTTGGTTGCTACAATTTTAGATCCTAGACTTAGGCTTGATCTATTACCTGATATGCTACAAATATATTACAATAATTTGTCTAAGGATATATCATTGATTGATTGCCCTCCACTTCCTAACGTACCTACTCTTGTTAGCACTTCGACTACATTATTAAATCAACTTTATGATGAATATGCAAGTATATCTGGAACATCTAATGTTCCAAATAACAATCCTACTTCAACAACAGATACATCTACTATGTTGGCGGCCCAACGTTTATTGCATGAGCGCTTCAAGCGCCCAAGGTCCTCATCCTCAAGTTCAAGTTCCAATCAGCGATTGGAACTTGAGAGTTATTTAACCGTTAGATTTGATTCCACAGAAAGTACAGATTTTGACATACTAGCGTGGTGGAAGTCAAAAAGTTCATCGTTTCCAATTTTGGCACGTATTGCCAATGATGTTCTCGCTTGGCCCGTCTCCACTGTTGCGGTCGAATCCGCCCATAGTGTAGCCGGTAGAGTATTGGATCCAACAAGAAGCAATCTCTGTGCCGACAATTTCGAAAATCAAATGCTTTTGGGAGATTGGACGAAAACCGACTACAGACACAAAGATGATCACATCGACAAAGACGACGACGATGATGATAAATATGTTCCTACAGAAGGTGGGAATACAACTTCACCCGGCGGCACAAGCGACGACTAAAAAGGTAAGTAAAGGTAAGAGAACTACGTGGACTTTGATTCCAAACCGGATACGTAGGCAACTTAGTTTTAAATTTAAAATTTTATAATTTTGAATTTAAAACTAAGCTCAAGTCCTTTAAATTTATCTTCTTTTTTTTTTCCTTTTTTTGATATATGTCAAAATAATAAAATTAAAAAAAATAAAAAAAATAAAAAAAAAATAATAATTCAAGAACCGGTTTTGGACCCGGACCCGGACGGACCCACGCGGGTCGGTTTAGGGTCCCGAAAAAGTAGGAACCGGACCCGGCGGGTCCGACCCGGACCCGACCCGGCCCGTGGCCATGTCTAGTAGGACTAATTCATTTTTGGAGGGGGCAAATTAAATCTTATCGTTTATATTATTGATAAGGAACATTAAATTGGATTCGAATTGCAAAATAACTATTTAATTCGGAGAAGAGTTATTAATGGGCATCGTTGGAGATAATCGAAATAAATGATGGAAAAATAAGGGTTTTCGAGTTTAGACTCCTAAAAGTTCGTTTTTTGCTATTTTATGCAAGTTTTAGAAAATTAATATCAAATCATAGAAAAATCGTATTAAGATTCCGTAAATTGGGTTGTTCCCAAAATTAAGAGATCTCCTAGAATCAGGCTCTAACTCGTTTTTGTCGTTTTTGGTAATTTTTACTATTTTCTTAGCTTAATTAAGGTTTTCAGTTTTATTAGTATAAATAGCTGTCTTAGGACATTATTTTGGAAAAAAAATTCGATTTTTAATAAAATCTTTAGAGTTGTCTCTATTTTCTGGTGGAGTCCAGAGTTTTCGGTGGATTTCGAATGTTATTTTGTTCTATGAATTCTGAATGTTATTTTGTTCTATATACTTAATTCGTAGAAACTAAATTTGTTCTATGAATTCTAAATGTTATTTTGTTCTATATGATTAATTCGTAGAAATTAATTCTGTATTGTGCTTAAACTAAATTTGTTCTATAAATTCTAAATATTATTTTATTCTATAGGATTAATTTGTAGAAATTAATTCTTTATCCTGCTTCCATTATACATCATTGATAATAAAATTTACACTAAAAAATCAAATCTACAAGGGCGGTAGCCGCCGGATTGTGAGTTCTCAGGTTAAACACATGTTAATTGTAAGATATGACGAGTCAAATCGTGTCCGTTTTCAGTGTCCGGTCGTTTTCATGTCCGTGCTGCATAGATTGTCCATTCTAACAACTGATATGATTAACAAAGGCTGTAGTAGCAGATATTTTTGGCTGCTGAGAATGTAATTATTGACTAGCAACTTTCATCTCTCTATATATCCTTTGATTTCTCCAAAAAATCTCACACAGAGAGAGAGAGAGAGAGAGAGAGAGAGAGAGAGAGAGAGAGAGATGACAAGTTATTACAGCTATGGATCATTTCAACTGATCAATAGTTCTTGGTCAGTACACAAGCCTTGGATTTCTTATTACAAATCTAATCATTCTCCTAAATCATCCTTGTCTTCTTCTTCTTCTGGTGGCAAGGTAATTAAATTAAAAATAATAATTTAAATATTTGGAAATTAATTTATTAATTTATTAATGTCGGTGGAGTTGATGATGAATAACAGCGCGCGCCGCCGGCGAGAGATGTGCCGGAGATTATCACTCCAAAGGCTGTTAAGGAGACACGTGTCAGTTTTTTAGATATGTTCGTTGACCATGCTTTTCAGTTCGTTGACCAGCCTTATCTCCCTTCTCAGGTATATCAATATTATTATATATAAATTAATTTAGAAATCCATATATTTAAATTAATTTATTTATTTTAATGTTGGCTAATTAATTTATACATTTAAAATTAAAGAAAAACTTCGCCCCAGTTGATGAGATCGGAGAAGCAGTGGGAGTTAGCACAATTGAAGGCTGCATTCCTGATGAATTTCCACAGGGTGTTTTCGTAAGAAATGGTAAGAAAAGAAAATTATGAGTTTATTGCATTAGTACCCCCTATGTTATCTCAAATTACTAAAATTTACTCTCTTTTTATTTTATTGCCAGAAAAGTCCCTATGATTTATTTCAGAGTAAATTACGGCCACCTCCTTAGGTATTGTCAAATTACAAAAGAACCCCTCACATTTGGGTAATTACGACCAACCCTCAACTCTAAATCGTCTTACACATCCACCCTTGCGGTATCCAATTTAGTGGAATCTTCTAGATTATGTTGAATATTCTCTAATTTGTACCCGTTTTACTACATTCGAGCCCCACATTTTTAAACAAGATGATATAAGATGTGTCTATTGGCTTTTAGTGGTGCATCGAAAACTGTTTTTCTGAACAAAACGAGTACAAATTATACAACTTTCCACGGAATCTAAAAGATTATGTTGAATTTGACACCATAAGGGTGGGCGCATAAGAAGACTCATAGTTGATGGATGACTGTAATTACTCAAATATAAGGGTTTTTTTCGTAATTTGACCATATCTCAGGGGTGACCGTAATTTACCCTTTATTTTTTAAGCAAATAGTACCCATGTTTAGGGGGGCTTTGTGCTAAAAGAATTGTATCATTGAGGCGGTTTTATAACATGATGGAGTTTTTAGCAATTCGATATAACATAGGGGTACTGAATGCAATAAACCCATTACGAATTTATTGCAATTAGTACTAACTAATATTATTAATTATAAGGGTAAATTACAACCACCCCTGAGGTATGGTTAAATTACGAACCCCCTCTCTTATTTGGGTAATTACAACCAACCCCTCAACTATAAATCTTTTTACACCTCCAGTCGTCCACTCTTGCGGATTCAAATTTAGTGGAATCTTCTATATTATATAAAATATTCTCGACTTTGTACCTGTTTTATGCCATTTGAGCTTCACATTTTGAAGCAAGGTGATCATAAGATGTGTTTTTTGGCTTGTATATATCAGATTGTAGTGCATCATAAATCGTATTTTTACACAAAACGAGTACAAACTAGAGCACATTCCACGGAATCTAGATGATTATGTTGAATTTCACACCGTAAGAGTGCTCAGCTACTAAAGCAGTTGATCCACTCTTTTTTTCTTTAAAAAGCGGGGTCGGTGTAAGAAGATTCATAGTTGAGGGGATATCCAAACTAAAGGGTATTTTTTGGTAATTTGACCATACCCCAGGGGTGGTTGTAATTTACCCTAATTATAATTCCCTAAAATTTTGTGTTCTACCAAATTTTATATATTAATTATGCATATAATCTTAGTTAAATTAAGAAATCACGAGCCATTCGAGCTTATTTTGTATTTTAAAAATTGGCTCGAGAAATGCAGGGGCAAACCCGATTCACGGAGCGCTAAAATCCGCAATATCGATATTTGGAAAATCGAGCCACGTATGGGTAGAAGGAGAAGGAATGCTCCATGCTGTCTTCTTCAACAAAAAAATAGACGATAAATGGGTAACTCGTTACAAAAATAAATATGTCGAAACCGATTCGTATAAAATCGATAAACAAAGGGACAAACCTGCATTTATCCCCGCTGTCGAAGGGACCTCCGGTGGTGTTTTATCGGGTTTCATTTTCAACATGGTATGTTTTAAAACTCGTAATATCTTTTATTTTATTTTGTTTTAAGAATAATCTAAATCATGTTTAATTTATAATCGAGAAATATTAATTATTTGTGCAGCTACGATTTGGTAGGGTGAACGAGAACTTTAGCAATACAAGTATTTTCGAGCATTCGGGGAAATACTATACGGCCGCCGAGAATAGTATGCCTCAAGAAATTGACATAAATACCCTCCAAACTGTTGGCACTTGGGATAGTATTCTTGATTCTTGGAACCGATCATTCACGAGTCATCCGAAGGTTCTTTTAATTTTTATTAATTTAATCACTACATATTTGTTTAATTAATTATTTAATTGTATTTTTTTCTAAACAAAAAATAAAATAAAAATTGCTTATGCAGAAAGCTCCAGAAACAGGTGAACTTGTTACAGTTGGATTTGATGCCCAAAAACCCTACCTTGTCCTAGGTTGCATCTCAGGTATACACATATATTTTTTTTCGTGCCGTTATTTTTTTCTTTAACGGAAGTAAACTGAAAGGTAAATTACGATTTTGTCCCTTGAGGTTCGGTCTGATTAATTATTAAACGAACACTTCTATTTAAGAAATTATAAACACTTCTATTTGTAGTATATACATTTGTAATGTAGTATATTAATTTCAATAATTTACAATTTTAAAGTAAAAAAAAATAATTAAAAGTTTTCATGAATTTATTTTAAAAATAATAACGAAATTCTTTTCTCGATATATCGTCTTCGCAGCGGATGGAATGAAATTGATCCATAAAGTTGATCTCAAGTTGGAGAGGAGTGTCATTTGCCATGACATGGGTGTTACTCAAAGGTAGTTCGAAAATTCGATTTTTTTATTTAATTATTATTACTTTAATTTCTATACTATATATTAAATAATTTACTTCATTATTATTTAAAATTTAAAACCGTTGATAACGAATATAATCCTAGTATATAATTTCAGGTACAATGTTATACTGGATTTTCCAACAATTGTAGACACAACGCGGCTTCTCTTAGGTGGCGCGTGAGTATCTCTACTTATATCGGTTTGTTCGGTTTTACGTTTGGATCAAAATATTTAAATTAAAAAAGAAAATTTGTGTAGGTTGATAAAATTTGAAAAGGAAAAATATGCAAGAATCGGAGTTATGCCTCGTTACGGAGATGCTGATTCTATGCGTTGGTTCGAAGTGGATCCGTGTTGCGCATTTCACATCATCAATTGTTACGAAGAAGGTGACCAGGTAATTAATCAATCGAAAAATTAATTAATTAAAATAAGGAATAAATTATATATATATATATTTATGATCTAACTTCTCTATTTTAGACGAAAATACCCCTTTCACTACTAATTATAAGTTATCATTATTTTTTTTTTTGGGTTCTATTTTTTTATGAATGATATAATTAGATAATTGTATTTATGGTGATTAGGTGGTGATAATGGCATGCAGATCGGAGGAATCGATCATTCCGGGACCGGAGTTGGGGAACGACAAATTTGATTGGTTCTCAAGAGGATTTAAACATTTAAATTCATCGAAAAAAGACGAGGGTTTTCTTTTTGCTCGTCCTTTTGTTTGGAGACTGAACATGAAAACCGGAATAGTCGAAAATAAGAGTTATCTCACAGGAACTGAATTCTCGCTCGATTTTCCATTTATCAATGAGAAATTTACCGGAATCAAGAATAAATACGGCTACACTCAAGTCGTTGATTCCGCTGCAAGTTCGAATGCAGGTACATACATACATACATACATACATACATACATACATACTATTAATTGTTTTACTTCAAATGCTTGCACAAATATAGGTATGTCTAAATATAATGGGCTGGCCAAACTATTTATAGAAGAGAAAAATCTCAATCTTGCTGAGGTATATATTCTCTCTCTAGATCTCTCACTCTCTAGATCTCTCTCTCTCTCTACTAATATATGTAGCTTGAAATTAATTAGGGCACGAAAGATGGAGACGAATTTACGAAGGTAGAGTACCATATGTTTCGAGAAAACACATTCTGCACGGGATCTGCATTTGTTCCTAAAAATGGAGATAATATTGTCGAAGAAGACGACGGTTGGATCATCACTTTCGTACATAACGAGACCACCGATATTTCTCAGGTTTACTACCAATTTCTCGTTGCGTTTGATATTTACGATATATTGTACGTGGCATTTAATTTAATTTTATATATTTTTTTATGTTCATCAAATATATTTCAGGTGTACATAGTTGATGCAAAGAAATTTTCAAGTGAACCAGTTGCTAAAATCACACTTCCATGCAGAGTGCCTTATGGATTTCATGGAGCTTTTATGCCTTTGATTAATTAATATTTTATTGTTTAGAACTCTATATAGTATGTGTATATATTAGAGTTGCATGTTGGAACGGAATTTCCAACTTCCGCCGGTTCCGATCCGAAAAGTTCCGATTTTGGAACAACTTTTTTCATTCCGACTTCCGAAATTCTGATTTCCAAATTTTCCTGTTTTTTAGAAATTTTATATTTCACAACGAAATATTTTGTTGTTGAAAGGGTAAAATTTCGTTAACAATATAATACAATTCGCAACAATTTTTTGTTGTTAACGTTTATAATCTAAATACGAGACATGTAAATTTGGTTCGCTTTTGTATTGGAGTCCGACCCGACCAACATCCGTGGACCTGACCCTCGGACCACCAACCTATTCAGAATCAGTTTATTGGGTCGAACTCAGGGCTGGTCCAAGTAGACTAATTTGATAAATGTCAAATATATGGCACCATGACAATAGAAGGATGTGAACCCTAGTTGATTTCAGGTCAAAGAAATCTCCAACCACTTGGGCAACAACACATTTGTGTAAATAGACTTCAAATAAATTTATAAAAACTAAATAGACAAGGTAAAATAATTAAAAAAAATTATATAAATAATGTCAAATTAAATTATATATATAAATAATATTGAGTCATAACAAAAACTATATATATATATATATATATATATATATATATATATATATATATATATATCGATTTAATAACATTACTGTAAATTAAAATCAAGAAAAAATATTCGTTTCTAAATTGACAACAATTATTTGCCAAATCTCGTGGAGCATTTCCAATAAAAAAAATTGTCGTCTTTCGTCACTTAGTGGTGACAAAATAAATTTGTTGCAAATGTATTTACTATAATTTTATATCGTAGCAAAAAGAAATACTTGTTTGCAACAAACAAAGTTGTTGTGTTTCATGAAATTCGTTGCGAAATATATATGATACCATTCGCAACAATATATTTCGTTGCCTAAGAGATTCAAAGGCAACAAAAACATCTTGTTACAAAAGCGTTAATCTTTAACCACAAATACTATATTTCGTTGCTAAAATATAACTATTGGCAACAAAATTAATTTCTTCGATAAAGAAATCGTTGCCTATTTCCGAAAAATACACCTATAAGTTATTGGATATTATGTTGTGTTTATTTTTTTGAACTGAAATTTAGTAGTTACTAGTTTTACTTTTACCATTTTACAAAAAAAAAAAAAGTTTACTTTAATCGACCTGGATGTTCTTATTTTTGAAAAATGAACATTTTAGAAAATTTCGGCTAAGTTTTGAAATTTTAAAGCTTATGTGATTTTCGGACCTTTTGGAATTGGAATGAATTTTTAGATTCCGAAAATTTTGGAATTGGAATTGGAATTGATTTTGTACTTCCAAATTTTATTGTAATATTTTCGAAAAGGATAATTTCGATCCTATCCATCCGACTTTCACCCAAGTATATATTGATAAATTATTATTTTTTAAATTGGAAAAAATATTATCATAAGTGATTTGGGTTTCTAAGCCGCATGATTTATTATAATAAATAAAATAATACAGATAAAACCCTTTTCGAAGATAGGCCCAATTGACCTTTTGCTTCATTCATGAGCCCACAGAAAAGGGCTCACTACCCATAAATTGGGCCCGGAAGAAAGCCCAATTTATTTTGTATTAATATATCGAATTAATAATTTAATACTTATACTGTGAGTCTGGATCGGGAGAAATTATTATTTAAGAGAAATTATTAATTCATCGAGGTACGACTGTGTACTGATAGAAGGATTTGAAGATGAGAATTTCAAATCTGTAATAACTAATAACATTGTTTTTTCACCGTCGTTTTTAGATGAATTCGTTCTCCGATGAATTTCGAATTTTAGCGTTCAAATTGTATTAAGTTCTGTAATGAATTTTGAAACCCAATTAAAATGACTTGACTTGAAATTATGTCCCAAAATAAAACTCAGTTTATGTATGTCAATTTATATTAAATTTCGCCTGTCCTAATTCTAACAATATGACCTAACCCTAAGTGTTAGAGATTAGTGTTTTTCAAAAGGGGCAATAACTGCATTTCATTACTCATATTAAAGAAGCTGATAAGTTCTTAGATCGTGTTTGTAAAAACTTATTCATAAATAAAAATTAGTGATTGTGGAATAAGTTTAAGATGTTTACAAATAGAAAGTCAATTTTAACTAAAAATAAAAATAGGCAGATTCGTGGTTTTCAGATTATAACTTAAAGAAACTTATTCTGAGAGAAGCAAAAGTTGATTTTTAAAAGTACTTAAATACGTGTATGATTTGCGATCTTTTCATTTTTTTTGTTTTTGGAATTTAAACCGAAGGGGAAACCTTGCTATTAACTATTGCGCACGAACGTGATTGTATGTGCGATGTGAGTGTGCGTGTACGTGTGTCACTCCGTGTGGTATTCGTCTGCGCGCGTGGGTGTGTGTGAATGTGTATGGAAGAGTTACGGTCGGCGGGCACTGAAATAGAATTAGTTTTCACTTTCGAAAAAAAATATTTTTTTTTACAAAATGCCAAAATTTCAATTCTATATTCATCATAATTAATTAAATAAATAAAAAATATTAAATAAATGTGGTCGCCTGCGAGAGTGGAAGTTGCACCCCCACAGCAACGCCACGTGTACTCTGAATATTTTCTTTTCCAATAGCTTCCACCGTCAGTCGCTATCAAACTCATCCTTCTCCAATTATAATATCTAAATTAATTCATTAATATTATTAAATCGTATATAAATAAATAAAATGTGAATTTTGCCAATTGCCAAACAAAAACACTCCCTCTAGAATCCCGTCACTCTTCACACTATACACATTCCACTGCGTGTATATATATATATATACACATATACATACAAAATACTTGCTCCGTGTCACTGTGTGTGTGTGTGTGTTTTTTTAGAGAGAGAAAGAAAGCTGAAGAATGGAGAAAACAATGGCGGAAGAAGAGCCTCTCTTGAAGGAGGAGGATTGTAATAAAAAGGGCGGCTTTAGGACTTTGCCTTTCATAATTGGTAACATATTAAAAATTCCATTATTTTAATTTTTAAATTTTTTTTTTATTTATTTAGGAATTTCATCTATGATTAAATTCATTCTTGTTCCATAAAAAAGAAAAAAAAAAGAAACAGTGGGATTAATTAGCTAATGGAAAATTACAGTTTACAACCCTCAAGTTTACACTGATTTCATATTTAGACGCCTATTTTCATAAAAAAAATTACATTTGGTCCCTCTGATACCATAACGTAACACTTTTGGTCATTTACGTTAATTTACTGTTAATTCATCAGTTAATGCAGTGATAAACAAAAGCTTAATTCGGTTAGTGCTAACGGAAATGACTAAAAGTGTTGAATTTTCGAAATATGATGGATCATATGTGTTTTTTTATGAATATTAAGGACCAAATGTGAAATCAGTGCAAAATTGAGACGGAAACCGTATTTTTCGCGTTAGCTAATTTTATGGGTTGGGATTGTGTCTTTTCTTGTTTTTTTTTTTTTTTGGGGTTTAATTTGCTGCAGTGCTGTTTTATTTAGTTAAGGGCGTGTTTGATTTGGTAAATTTTGATTTTGGAAAAAAGGGAATGAGTCAGTGGAGAAGATGGCAACTTATGGTGTGATGCCAAACATGGCTCTGTATCTGATCAAAGAGTATCATATGGAACTCACCACCGCTTCAAATGTATTGTTCATGTGGTCATCAGCCACTAATTTCATGCCACTTGTCGCAGCCTTACTAGCCGATTCTTTCTTCGGCAGATTCTACACCATTGGATTTGGCTCTATTATCTGCTTCATGGTAAAAAAAGAAAATATTATTTATTTATTTATTTGGGAAACATATCACTACCTTCAACATAATTTTTTTTGTCATTAATTTTCTTTGTTTAAATTGATTTTTATTTATTTATTTATTTAAGTTTGTCATTTAAGGGGATGATTTTTCATGGTAAAAAAGAAAATTATTTATTTATTTATCTGGGAAAATGATCACTAGCTAGTAAAATTGCTTATTGAATTAATTTTGAGGTTTAACATGATTTTTTTTAAAAATTTTCTTTGTTTTAATTGATTTTTATTTATTTATTTAATTTTGTAATTGAAGGGGATGATTCTTCTATGGTCAACAACAATAATACCACAAGCAAAGCCTCCACCATGTTCGAATAACCCTATTTGCTCCTCGGTCGCGATCCCGCAGCTCGTTTTACTATGTACATCGTTCGTGCTAATTTCAATCGGGGCCGGAGGAATAAGGTCTAGTTCGTTAGCGTTCGGTGCCGATCAATTGGAAAGAGGAGAATTCAAGAGAAAATCTAATTTGAAAGAGAGCTATTTTACGTGGTACTACGCTTCGTACACGTTCTCCGTTCTTATCGCTCTAACTTGTGTCGTTTATATCCAAGACAACGTAGGATGGGGTGTCGGTTTCTTAGTACCCGCTCTTCTAATGTTGTTTGGTGTTGGTTCGTTCTTTTTGGCTTCTCCGTTTTATGTCAAATTGAAGTGTAGATCGAGCTTATTCACCGGCTTGGTGCAAGTGGTTGCAGCTTCTTTCAATAATCGAAGTCTCGAATTATCGGATGGCACGAGTAATTACACATGGCATTGTAGGAGCGGTTCATCTCTCGTTTGTCCGAGCGAAAAGCTAAGGTATATATAATTTTTTAATCAAAAATTAGAGTAAACATAGTGGTGTTGAATGCAATTATGTTTTAATTTGTTGATGATGTTTAATTAGATTTCTAAACAAGGCGTGCGTTGTGAGAGATCCCGAGACGGACCTAACCCCCGACGGTAGACCTAAAAACCCGTGGTGTCTTTGCACCGTCGATCAAGTCGAAGAGCTCAAATCGACGATCAAGATCCTCCCAATTTGGTCAACGGGCATGATCATGTCAATTAACATAAGTCAAACCTCGTTCCCAATAATCCAAGCATCTTCGATGAATAGACGAATAACGTCCAATTTCACAATACCATCGGCCTCGTTCAACACAATTACGGTAATATCCGTCATACTATGGATTTTTCTCTACGACCGTATTTTTCTCCCTCTAGCATCTCGAGTCATGAGAAGACCAATTCGTATAAGCCCCAAAACAAGAATGGGAATCGGGATATTTTTCTCGATATTGGCGATGATCGCCACGTCAGCGGTCGAGGGTGTACGTAGATCCCTCCACGCGAGAAGCGGGGGATCGCAGATGTCGGCGGTGTGGTTGGTCCCGCAGTATTGCTTGACCGGATTCGCGGAAGCTTCTAACGTGATCGCGCAAAACGAGTTTTATTTCTCGGAATTTCCGAGGAGCATGTCGAGCGTGGCTTTGACTATGAATGGAATCGGGATGTCGTTGGCGAATTTAATAGCGAGTTTTTTGATGAATTTCGTTGATTGGGTATCGAAAAAAGGGGGGAAAGAGAGCTGGATATCGAGCGATATTAATAAGGGGCGTTACGATTATTATTACTTGGTGCTTGCTGGATTGAGTGTGGCTAACATGATTTATTTTCTTGTGTGTAGTAGTGCTTATGGGCCTTTGAAAGGTGAGAAGAAATTGGAGGAAGAGCAGGGTGAGGTACTGTAGAGAGTTTTTGGTTTGTTAGTTTTAGTATATATGTTAATTATGTTTGCTAATTGTAGTGTAATAATAATCAATGATGTTGAATTTAGTAATAGAAATACCGGGTAAATTATAACCACACCTGAGGTATGGTCAAATTACAAAAAAATCCTTCTTGTTTGAATAATTATATATATTCGTCAACTATAAATCTTCTTACATTTCCACCATTCAACATAATTATCTAGATTCTGTAGAATGTGCTTTCGTTTTGTGTAAAAACACGTTTTCGATGCATCAAGATCTGATACATACAAGTCAAAAAATACATCTTATGATGATCATTTAGCTTTAAAATGTGAAGCTAGATCGAATGGGATAAAACGGGTACAAATTGATAATATTATATATAATCTCGAAGATTACACTAAATTTGAACCGCAAGGATGGACGCCCTGGCCTGCGTAAGAAGATTTATAGTTGAGGGTTAAACGGTCATTTCACAATTAAATATGCCAATAAAATGGAGAAGATGAAATTGGGCCTTAAAAGAAAGCCCATAGAGCAGCAGCAGCAGCATCATCAGTGAAACAATTGTCCCCACCTCTCCTGATTTCTGCAATGTTCAGAACTGACTGTACATGCAAAAGAAAAACCTCAATTCACTCATCCCCACTAATCCAGCTCATCATCTTTCTCTCTCTACTCTCTCTCTCTCTCACACACAAACAACTACGCCGGAATCTGATCGTGGTTTTTCCGACCATGAGAACCAACCAGCCAAAGCTGAAAGCTAACCCAGTACGGAGTCCATTATTTTCATGTGGTTTCTTCCGACAATGCACTCAGACTGTTCTTAGTCCCACCAGCTCTACCCCTCCGCCCCTCCCTCACGCGCCGCCAACGCCGACGCCGCTCACTTCCCAGCTGATGCCGCCCCCGCCGGCCGAGTCGTCGTCTTCCTCTTCTTCCAACACCTCACAGAGTTTCACTCAGTGGAGGTTTCCTCTCTCCAACTCGCCCTTGTCGTCCCACCACCACTCTTACTCGCTCCCCAAATCCGAACCCGTTTCCGGTCCGGATCCGAACCTGAATAAAGGGGATGCCGGTTCGGCCGGTTCGGTTTCGGTTTCGGTTTCTCCGCCGCAGCTTACCAGCGCAGGATTGGAGGAGATTTTCCGGGTGGCGGAGGTACAATTCGGTTCCGGGTCGGACGCGGGTCGGGTCGTAGCCGTGCACTTGCTGGAGAGGTCTCTTGTTCCGAATCCGCGTTCCGCGGTGGACGGCGGCTGCCCTTGCCCGGCGGCGGTGGTCGGCGGGGTGGTGGCGTGCCTGAGGGAAGGGGTGGCGCGTAAGGCCGCGAGTAAGGTTCTGCTGGCGCTTTGTCTGGTGGAGATGAACCGACGCGCGGCGGTGGAGGCGGGCGCGGTGACGGCGGTGGTCGAGGCGCTGACGGACGCGGAGATTGCGGTGGCGGAGAGGTCGTTGGCGGCGCTGGAGCTGCTTTGCACGACGGCGGAAGGGACGGCGGAGGTGAGGGCCCACGCGCTGGCAGTGCCGATGATGGTGCAGGTTATGGGGAGGATGGAGGGGAGGGGGAAGGAGCACGCGATAAGCGTGCTGGCGGTGATATACGGTGGTTTGGAAGAAGGGGTGGCGGTGGCGCCGGCGGAGCAGGTGGCGCGTGCGGTGATGCTGGCCCTGCAAGGGGACTGTAGTGCGAGGGGGAGAAGAAAAGGGGCCCACCTACTGAAAATTCTGCAACAGAATGGACGGCTGGATTTGTCTGAAGAGGAGAGATGAACGGTTCAGATTTGTCTATCTTAGTTCAATAGTTTATGTTAGATGTAATAATTTATTTTTGGCTAATTCAATAATTTATCCTCTTGTAAATAAATATCCTCTTTCATGCTTATAAAAAAATTGATATTTTATTTGCTAAGTAATGTTCAACTAATATTATTAATTGAAATTACTGAATATAATTTTATTAATTGACATAATATTTGTTTTGATATATGTTATTAATTTCTTGAAATTGTATATATATATATATATATATATATATATATATATATATATATATATATATATATATATATATATATAGAGAGAGAGAGAGAGAGAGAGAGTTGTGAGACATATTCCATGTGGTGGGGTTACCCACTGTCACATGAATTATTCTTTTGTATAATAATTGGATTAGTATTTGAAATATTTTACTATGTTTACACCTTTTTCCTAACAATCAAATGAAAATTTAATTGTATTCATTATTGCATACGAGAAAACTCATATTTTTCATTTTGGGTAAATTACGATTTGACCCTTGAAGTAAGGTTAAATTATAAAAATACTTCATGTGTGGATAATTACAGTTATTCATCAATTATGAATCTTTTTACACGTCCATCACGGTGTCTAATTTAGTGAACTCTTATAGATTACGTAGAACATTCTCTAGTTGTACCAGTTTTATCTCATTGGAGTTCCACATTTTGAAACAAGATGATCATAAAATATATTTCTTAGCTTGTAAATATCAGGTTGTAGTGCATTAGAAATAACATTTTTCCACAAAAGGAGTACAAACTAGAAAATATTCCCCGGAATCTAGAAGACTTTGTTTACAGCATAATGGTGGACTTGTAAAAAGATTCATAGTTCACATTACCCAAGCAGAAAGAATTATTTCGTAATTTGCACCTTACCTCGGAGGCGACCGTAATTTACCATTTCACTTAAGCTAAACAGTATTATATGTATAAAGAAAAATAAAAAGGGCAATAAACTTTAAGAATGAAAACACATTTGCATATTAATCTTAGTTCTTACCAAATGATATATCTCTTGCAAAAGAAAAAAAAAATGTACATACATATTTTGTATTTATAATATATATACACACAAATTAACTAATGGAAGAAGAAGAGTATCTGCAAACACGCGCTTCACCGTAAACACTCCCATTCCTGCAAAAGTACCCATTTTCAGGGCTACAATGCCTATCCTCAGAGCAAACACACTCCCCTTCCAAAGCACACCCATCTCCCTTCACACTGGCCGGCACCCCTTTTCCGGTCAATATACCATCGGAAAACTCACCAGAAAACACATTCGTCGGATCAAGAAACCTCTTCGCCTCCACAAACTTCCCAAAATCTACATACTTCTTCTGCACGTCGAAGAACGCAACATCCCTATTCTTCGCCCAATGCGGCTTCGCCCCGTACTTGAAAAACGCCATCTGCTCTATTTCTTCCCACACGTCCCCGTTCAATCTCGGCGTTGAAGAATCGTCCGCCCGATAGTAGTTGAAATCCACCACCACCGAATTCTCCGACTGGCCTAAGTAAGCCCCCGATTTCGCGACGAAGCGTATTAGAAAGCCGTTGTACATGTCGACCCCACAGAAGCTCTCGGACTTTACAATGTCCCGGAGTTTTCTCACGTCGTGTACGAAGTCGGGGAATTTTTTGGCGGGAAAGATGGCGGTGGATTCGAAGAAGAAGAGGCCGTTGATGCGCGGGTCCCACGCGCACGAGGTGGCCGTGTTTGATTGCGGGGAGTAGAGGCATGAGCCGGAGGTCTGCATTTTGCCCTGACGGCCGATGACCGGATATCCGGTGAAGATTTTAAGGTTGTTGCTGTTTTTTAAACCGTTGGCCGTTAATTTCTTGTAGGATAAGAAAGAAGATGCTAGTATGCATTTGCCGTTTACGTTTCTTGCTTTCTCAACCGCTTTTTCTGCATGCATGCATGAAAAAAAACCAATTATACCACGGTTCCTTCGACCGTACACCCGGTGAAAAATACCTCGGGTGTAGGGTCGAACAAATCTTATACCACTGTATTGTAGTTTTTTTGTTAAATTACAACCACCTCCATGTGTGAAAGTTTAATTACGAAAAAACTTCTTATTTTTGATAAATTACATCCAATCCCTGTAGTTTATAAATTTCTTACATCCACCCCCTACAAAAGGGTGTTAATGTAAGAAATCTATAAATTACAGGGGTGGGTGTAATTATGGAAAAATTATGGGTCTTTTTGTAAATAGACCTTAACTCAGTGGAATGATTGTAATTTACCCTAGTTTTTTTTGTTGTAATTGATGATTTGATATCATAGAAGAAATTGTTGTTTTGTTCCTAGCTACTTGAAATTCTCGTTTTATTTATCGTTTTGAAGAAACAAAATTGTTCAAAATAGCTGTCACTTTAGAATTGCAATAAACATCCATAGTAATTTTCTCAATATTTGTCCTTACTACTACTTAAGAAAATTAATTATGACAGAGTTTTTTTAGTCATTTTATTAAGATTTTCTTAAAATCCATGCACAGGTATTAATTTTCTTGAAATGTGCACATTAGCCCAAAACGACAAATAAAATGGGAAGAAGGGAGTATAACCCGAAATAAAATTATGGGTTATTTTGTCACAATATTAAAATTATGGGGTTTTTTTGCACATAATAATTCATTTAGAACGATCTATATATCACACAAACAAACAAGAGTGGTTAGAATATATATATTACCTGAAGCTCGAACTGATTTGGATATGATAGCAAGGTTGGATTGAAAGCCAAGAAAGTCGTTGACTCCGTCTCCGGTGGCGTTGACCGGAACTCGATCATCGTATCTGTAAACGGCTGTATGCAACGATGGGTACCACTGTATATCTCCAAACTCATGTTTTTGAGCATGATCCATAAATTCATCCTCAATTCCAACATCACTTGTAAAATTATACCTTATGCTCCTCTTGAATCCTCTTTCCAACAACAATGTTACCTACATTATATATATTCATTTTAAATAATATAAAGGTGCCACGTCATATATATATATATATGGATAAATTACGAAAAACCCCTAAACTTGGGATAAATAACGAAAAATACTCCCACTTATTCATAATTACCAAAAAGCCCCTGAGGTTTGTTTCCGTCTTACACCAACCCCTTACAATATAATGTGACTTTTCACGGATTCTTTTTGATTCGAGCGCTATATACAATTTCAGATATTTTCTTTTATTTCTCACTTATTTAACGGAAGGTATAATAGACTGTACACATTTTCTGTTGAAAAACTCAATCAGATGAGGATTGTGGTTATTACGGAGAGATGGGGTGCTTTTCATTATTTAACCTAAGTTCAGGGGTTTTTCGTAATTTAACCTATATATACATATATATGTGTACGTGTGTTTGCTGACCTTAGAAATGGCGCCGAGCATTCCCAGGGAAACCTTGGCGGCGTTCAGCAGCGGATCTCCGCCCTTCAAATCGACAATTCTAGCAAACCCTTGTGATTCCTTCGCCGGAACTACTAGCCTCACCCCAATCACGTGGTCGTGGACTGCGCCGCCTCTTCCCCACCACGAGCTGCCGTGTGCGCCGGTGCTTATCACCCCTCCGACGCTGACGCCCTCCCAGTACGGCGCCGCCACCAGGCTCAGCCCCTCCTCCTCCACCCTGTCGATCAGCTCCCGCAGCCCGACTCCGGCGTCCGCCGTCACCGCCAGATTCGCCACGTCGACTTCGATCCCGGTGTTGTACCTCTCCGTGCTTATCAGCATTGTACTCCCCGGCGACGGGCAAGCCAGCTTCGGAATGGTGTGGGAGAATCTGGAGACGACTTTCACTTTAAGCTTCCTCCTGTTGGCATCGGCGACTGCCGACCGGAGCTCCTCCTCGGATGTGGGATATACGGCGGAGGTGACGTGGCAGTCTTTCCGGTCACTCCAGACGCCGTAGGAGTTGGAAAGCGTGCAGCCGGTTTGGGTGCACTGAACCGGGTTCGGTGGAGGCATTGCTTCTACTATAACTAGAATCATTGAACCCAATACGAGAAGGAGTGCTAACATGCGCCATTGAATTTTCTGATAATTCTTCATCAAGAATTTGTGAATTATTATTTTTTGGTGTGCAGAAATTAATTAGAGGACACTTCTAATTTAAGAGGGGTTTGGTATAAAAAGGGGGTTTGCTTTAAAGGGAAGTCAAAACAGATATAGCTTGGATTGTGTATCAAGATTTTGGACATGTTTTATAATGTTTAGATCTCATCAGTTGTATTAATTTATGGGTAAATTACCGACACAACCTGAGTTAAATGTTAAATTACGAAAATACCTCTTATGTTTAAGTAATTACAGCTGCACATTTAACTATGAAATTTCTAATACGTCTACTTTTATGGTGTCAAATTCAACAGAATCTTCTAGATTCTGTGGAATGCTCTATAATTTGTACCGTTTTCTGCTCAAATGTAGTTTCTGATGAGGCAGCACAATCTGATATTTACAAACCAAGAGACACATCTTATGATCATTTTGTTTCAATATGTGGAGCTCGAATGGGGTGAATCGGGTACAAACTGGAGAATATTCCACATAATTTAGAATATTCCACTAAATTTGACACACTGCAAAAATGAACTTGTAAGAAGATTCATAATTAATGGGTGATTGTACTTATCCAAACTATCATAGAAGTTTTCGTAATTTGACTTTACCTCAAAGGGATGACCGTAATTTACCCTCAATTTGATAAAATTGACCAATTTGGTTGACTAAGAGAGCAAACACTAACGATCTGAGTTCGATCATCTTTGCCAACACTTTCTAGGTCGAGTTCTTCGTACAATATTGCTGGTCCAGTATGCAAATATAATTTAGTTGGTTGGATTATTGAATTTAGTTGATAATAACAAGTTGTAATCTTCTTACCTGTGATAACAACTTGACAACCCCAAGTGGCCAAGTTAAACAAAAACAACAGCAGTGTTCATTTTCTGACATGAATATCCAGAAATAAAGCAAACCAGCTGGTAATAAGAGAGAAAAAGAGATACATATAGAGTATGTATGTATATATATATATATATATATATATATATATATATATATATATATATATATATATACACCAAATGGCTTTGAATGAAGTTAATTATCCAAAGAGATATTGAACAGCTCATTTTATCTCAACTTAAAAAGAAATGCAAGTCACAGATATACCACCTGAGTTTGCGTAAATTACATATTCAGTCCTCCTGAAAATAAATCATCTAAAAGACAAAAATACATAAGATTAAAAAAAAAAAAAAAAAAAAAAAAAAAAAAGAAATCCCATACATAAGACAACACAAACAGCCCCTAAGAGCGTCAACGTCACAACATACAAACCAGATCGAACAAAAGTCGCGAGAAAAAGTTCTTTCGAAGCTGAACATATATAAATTAAATCGTCATCTATTTTCTCCAGCACTGTTTTGCAGAGGCATCTTTTTTCATCCTTGGTCTCTTCTCGCCCTCCGTATTCGCGGGGCGAATTTTTTCTCTTCTCGAATAATTTCTCTTTCTATATTTCAAATCTTTACCGCTTATAGTATACTCGTTTTCCGCATCGGGAACGCTGAAATCAGCAGGGTTCCGATTGAGAGTGCAAACACCCAATTCCAGATCATCATTGTTATTACCTCTTGATTGTTGATTCACAATTGATTGTTGATTCACAAGATTACTAGGTCCCTCCAAATGTACGGTTCTAAATTCACTCTGCGGCGGACGCATTTCACCTTTAAAAAAAATTATAAAAAAAAAAAGAAAAAAAAAAGATCGTTTTCAGTATACTGTCAGTAAAGAGAAATACGAAGAAATTGAAACAAATGAAGGTGATCATTTTACCTTGCAAGTAAGGTTTCTTTGAGCTTCCACTCGGAAAATAAACACCATTGAACAACGGAGGCAAGTCCTTAGTTTGGCGGCCGCTTTGCGAAAAGAAAGAAGAGCAGAAAAATGGATCTTTCTGATTCTCGTTTACGAAACGAGGGTGGTGATTGCATGGAGAGAAGGGCTTATCAGGAAAACCATTCGAGGCAACTACTTTGTCAGAAGATGTACCTGCAGGTACAACTCCTCGATCCATCAAAGACAGTAATTGCATTGCTGGAATTGCATCATTCGAATAAGCATCTAAAGATCCTACAGGCTTAGGGCGGGACCCAATTCTCCCCTCTTCGACTTTTTTCTCACGGCCGTTGTTTATTTCACTAACGGGTTTTCCTATGTAGTAGTGGTCTGAGAATGCATGCATATCTAAGCCATTAGATTGAACATAGCGGTGGTTTTTGGTACCGTTTAGATGAAGAGGTGCATTTTTCCTTCTCGGGGGCCATAATAGATCTGCTCCTTCACTTGGTCTTGGTCCGGACATAACCGAATTCGAGGCTAATTGCTGTGTTTGTTTCTGTTGACTTGGTCTGTATGAACTGATATTATTATAATTATTACTATTATTACCCATGTCGAACTGACAGTTCACTACGTCTGGGAAATTTGGGATTCTTTGTCTGACCCCCATGTTGCCACTTGTCACGCTTGTGTTGGTGAAAGGGAAATTGGGCACATAGAGAGAAGACGACCCTCTAATAGAATTATTGATGGGCTCAGGCAGGAGATGTTTTCTTGAATTTCCGAGTGCTCTTTCACGTTGATTCTTGGCCAAAAGCTCGACTATTTCCATTGGTATATCATCTGAAGCCCCTCCGTGTTCAACATTGTTATCCATGATGTTTTGGAAAGGTTGAGGTTCGGAGATTCTTAATTGTCTTTTGCCTTCTCTAGCCATATCTTTACTGCAGGAGGCAGACATATCCTGGACGAAGGAAAAACAAATCCAACTAAAATTAGAAAAATAAAAAACGATAAGCATAATCTGCCATTAGAAAACATACAAGCCAGAAAAAAATGCGGACGTTGTTTTTGTCATCTAGAGTTTCCGATAGCATCAAAATTAATTAATAAACTAATTAATCCAAGTAATCCTCACCACTAGTCAATCTGGTACTATTCACTGGAAGTTTGAGTTGAAAGAAACTACATAGCAAAATATCATACAACTGTTTCAACTAGAGAAACAAAATTTCTATCGAACGTCCATTTTCAATCTAACGAGCGAATCATTAAAATCCAGTTTCAGTACTTACGATTGAATTTCCAGACAAGTAAGTAAATTTGCAGCATAACAATCAAGCAATTCATGAACCAAAAGAACTTATCTCACATACCAAGTTTTTATGCAGATTCAAACTCCTATTCTCGGGAATATTATTCATCAACTGCTTCCCTTGCGTCACATAAGTTTTTTCGGAAAACGACACATTCAAATCAGGGATTCCCCTATGCTGCTGAAGAGACAGTTGATTGTCAGAGTTTCTTTCGGCCTCCATAATACAGCTGTTGAGCGTAAGGTCCAACGCCACCTTCTCATGAACATTGCAATCTCCAGTGATGTTCTTTCTTGAAGACATCAAAGAAATATGATCAGACAGATCAGAGACTCTATCCATTTTTTGTCCAAAAATCGAGCTCTGAAAATACGGTCCATTATTATTAAAACTTGTCTCAGCAGCAAAATCAATTTTATGTAAATTTTCAGAGTGCACAGCATTTATCTTGGGGGGCTCTTTCGGGGAAGCTGTTCTGTTTTCAATATGGGCCCGCCTCACCTTTTTGCCGACATCAAGAGCTTTGCTTTTCTTGGGCTTGATCTGCTTAGTCTTTGCAGTTGGCTGTAAATTCAATCGAGAAGAAGTATTCACTTCTGATTCTATTTCAAAATTTTCGACTCTCCTACATGTTTTCTCTGCATATGGAATAGGGCCTTTCGATCTTTTAGCTGTGCCGATTGGATGAGTTATCTCCAGAGGTACTCTGTCTTCTACGAGACCAATCTTTCTTTTCCTCGGAGGACTTTTAGTACCTTTTGCAATGTCTGTACGAACATCTAACGCAAGATGAGGGTCTAAATCAGCTTCCATCTCAGTAGATTCAGATCTCGTTCGAAGATGCTCACTAGTCAAATTCTTTTCTTCCTCCATTATATCGGCCAACATACGTAACTTTGGTTTTCTCCTATGTGTTTCCTTTCCGGATGATGCATTTTCTGGCTCATCGACTCTTATAGAAGGATCTTCAGCTGAATATACCATGTCTGGAGCATCTACTACAAAAATCAAGAACACTTTCATCATCTTAATTTGCCACACCTATAAAACATCAAATTACAGAAAATTCGAAAATTACCAAATTACCTGCATCGTCATTATGTCTCTCTCTAATCTGTAATGATTTATTTGCTGTTATATCAGCACATGGGTTTCGATGTACATTATTCGTCATATCTGTTTTCTCACCGCTGCCTGCACAGGTATTATAAGAGTTATAGATCTAAACATGAGAAAAATGATTCAGCTACAGTATATCTTTGCTAGAAAAAATGACGGTATTATAGAGATTTGTACTTTGAGTGGCTAAAAAATTCAAAGTTAACCAATCAAAAACTACTTAATCCGAAATGCCATACGTAACAAAAACGTACATGCAGTTGCTTTATCATGTCCTCCAGTGCAACAAGGATTATACTTTACAATCTTAGTACTTGGATAGTTGTCTTCCTCCATTCTAGTGTCTCTCAACCCATGCTCATCACCTGAAAAAGTAGCCAAGAAAATACACGAACACAGATGAAAAAACAATACCATGTTATCAAGAACATACACTAATTTACGCCATCTACAATAATATTTCCTTAATGTCAGCATATATACCTATTTTTTGTTTGCTACGTGAGAACAAGCCATGTTTTTCTTTCTGACAAGAACTTGGACCAGCACCACCTCTATCAGACAGTAACATTTGTACTGCATTCCTCTCAGCGGCAATATCCGGAACGCAGTTTGAACACTGCCACCATCGGAAACTGGGAACAGATAATGGAGGTAGTATATCCACAAAATCATGATCAACAGCAGCTTCTGAAGCAAACGGCGAACATATCTTCCAATCGGTTTTCCTTACTCCAGCAACATACCCACTGCATCCAAAAATTGAATGCTCGTAATTACAACATATGCTTCTTACACAAGGATAGTTCAAAGAAAGAATTTTGGATAAATAGTCAACACAGAAAGCATAAATCAGTAAGAATATCATCCACTCAGGCTCTTATCCCGTGTGATATATGGTCGGATTTTAGTGTGGATAGAAATTTAAGCACACAAGTTATCGTGACATACATCCGAAAAATAATTGCCATAAAAAATGTGTTATCCAAATTCTCACATAACATACTATCATCTTTCTTCAATCGTTTGAATATTTTTAATGTCTAAGAAAGACTGTCATTTGGACATGCAAAACTGCTGATGAAACAAATTCTCCCACTCAGAAAATATCATGCACTAAGCAGAAAAGGATTCCAATTCCACCAATGATACAAGAAGTTTAAGTCTAGCAAAGCAAATATTTACCGTATAGAAAAGTGTTCGTGTGGTGTTGATTCAATCTCTTCCATTGCACAACTAATGTCTATAGCTATTGAGTTAATCTGAACTAATGATCCAAAAGATTTCGATGCAGAAGCTAGCGAATCACTTCTTCGTTGACTTTCTTCCACAGCCACAATACTCTTGTCCATGTCAAAGTAACCTAAAAACCATTGAATGAAACAATTAGTTAATCAATCATTGCAATGTCTGCACTTGCTACATGAGATTTCGATTAACACCACATGCGATATACAACGAAAGAATGGAAGTCCGAAAGTTGCAGTTATCGTATAACTATGACAAACTGTTACAATGCCAATGCAAGAGACAGAAAGAAAGACAAGAACTTACTAAAGTGTTTTTAGGACATTACTCGAACCATATATAGAAACCCTAGTTAAGAATTAAAGCAAAGACAAAGTAGCATAAAATCAAAGATTTTAATACATTTTCATACATTACAATCCAACCGTAGATAAACGCATCAAGTAGAAAGAAAACCGAGACACAAAAGGAACAACACGAAGGTAAAGTAATTTTAGGGTTTCCTTTAGGGAAAAAAAATCCTATGAAAGATACATATATCGGCGGCTCAAAAATTGACTGGAAACCCATGTATTACACTCCATCATAATTCGATGAAATGAATCCACCGATATTAATATCAATTCGTTCAATTCCCCACTTACTCAAATTAGGGTTTAATGAAAACGCTGCAATTACTTCTTCAACTTCAATAAGTATCATAAAATGATAAAAACGTCAAACGAAGATCTAAACGGAGAAAGGATATAAATAAATAAAATGAATAAAAATAAATGAAAAGACCCATTTCAGAGAGAGAGAGAGGGGTAGAGAGAGAAAGAGAGGGGAGAGAGAGAGAGGTATACGGAAAAAAAATCAGCTGCGAGTCAGCTAAGAACCTAACTCCAGATAACAAAGAGAAAACATTCACACAATCAAATAAACAAATTAAAAAAAAAAAAAAACAATTAAACGTATCAGAAAAAAAACTCACCTTTATTCGAATCGGAAAAAAAAAAAATCAGATCAAAAACCTCACTGATTGACCCAGAGAAATTCCGCCGTGGTTGGCCGAAAAGCAGTCGTCATTTGGTAGAAATGGAGCCGGAGAATCCATCTCTGCGATTATCTCGTACTGATTTGGGAGCTGATTCTGTGAATTAGACAGCGAATTTGAAAAGGAAAAGATGGAGAAAAAACCTTGGTGTTTATTTTTTTTATTTTTTTTAGGTCTGAAATTCGCTAGAGAGAGAAAAAAATGTTTTTACAGAGAGAGAAAGAAATGAATACAAAAAGATAAGAGAGAGAAAGAGAGAGTGTTGCGTGCGTAAATTTTAAATGTCAGTTTACTGTCGACGCATACGGAAAAGGGTATTTATACTCTTTTTTGTCGCGTATATAACTATATATACAGTGTGTGTGTGTGTGTGTGTGTAAGCAAAATTAATGAGAGAGGAAAATATTATCCAATCAGGATCCGCCAGCGAGGCGCCGAGATGCGATGCTTATCACCATCCCCCACTAACACTGTTTTCTGAAACCCTAGGTAGACGAGGGTTACGGATGTGGAGCACACGCGCTTCTTTGAAGGGTAATTGGGGTTGAATTGCGTTTTGCACCCCAGAATTAACAGTATTTGGCGTTTTCCACCCTAACATCTTTAAATTGGTAAATCCCATGCTTAAACTATACATCTCATGGCAAAATGCACCCTACCTCAATTTCTTGCGATAATTAACAAAAGAGAATTTATACATCGCGATATTTTACACTTTTGAAGGACTTTTCATTATTCTTTATGTTCTGTTTTCTTACTTAATATCTTTAATTATTTTACTTATATATATATATATATATATATATATATATATATATATATATATATATATATATATATATATATATATATATATATATATATATGTTTGAAACACAAATGATGATTTATTTTATATGTTTTGCATCGAACTAAAAAATGTATATATAATTTCTTATTTTGATTCAATTTCAATTCTTCAAAATAATTCAAAATTCCTAATTTCCATAAAATTAATATTCATTACCAAATTAAAAATATAATAAGAATTGTAGGACTTTAATATTATTTTTAAACTCTAGTTGATAGAATTAAATGGATTACTTATAAAGCTTTAAATTGTTATTTTAAGAAGTTAAAATATCTTTGATATATTGGTTCTTTGGGCTAAAATCTCATAAGAAATTAATGTAGGGTGCATTGTGTCATGAGAAATATAAATTAAGGGTGGAATTTGCCAGTTTTGAAATGTGAGGATGCAAAGCGCCAATTAAGGTTAATTATGGGGTGCAAAACGCAATTCACCCGGAATTGGGCAACGGCTGGCGCGTCAAAGGATTGGTTCACGCACTTATATGGGATGTGATAGGTGCGTGGCTTCACGAGTATGGAAAGTGAGAGTGGTGGAGTTTTTTAGCATGGAAAAAAGGTAACCCTAAATTTGTGTGGTAATAAAGAAGGGAAGTAAAGGTAGGGCCTAATGCCTGAGACCCATTACAGTGTGTGTTGTGTGTGTGTGAGGGAAGGTGGGTGGGTGGGTGGGGGCAGGGTGGGGGGTGGGGTAAACTTACCAAAACAAATTGCATAAAATTAAATGTAGGTTTTCATTTTATTTTTAATTTTTATTATTTTTGGAGAAAGAAATTAAATGTGGTTAGGTAGGAATAGGATTGTGTTAGGGTTTTTTTGGTTGCATATATAGCATCTAGCAATTGAATACATGTCAAGTAATGAAACATAAATGGGATTTTTTTACAAAAAAAGAATTGCAATTACATATGTTTATGCAATAGTCGCACTAGTCTGTAAATTGCACGAGAGGTGTAAATCGTAATATAGAAGTCGTGTGCGACGAATTCGGCGTAGAAAATGCTGACAAGAGGGTTCGAACTCTTGTCGCTCGTAGTTGTGTTATATTTACTTCACCGACTATATCGCCCTTTTGTAGCGAAATCGTGTGTATTTTTCAATTAGAATCGTTGATTTTATTGTGAATTATATATGTATTATCGGTCATTCATAAATGCATACATATGTTTACTCAATAGTCGCAATAGTCGGTAAATTGCACGAGAGGTGTAAATCGTAATATACAAGTCGTGTGCGACGACTTTGACGTAGAAAATGCTGACAAGAGGGATCGAACTCTGGTCGTCGTTGTGTTCTATTTACTTCACCGACTATATCGCCCTTTTGTAGCGAAACCGTGTGTATTTTTCAACTAGAATCGTCGATTTTATTGTGAATGGTATCGGTCATTCATAAATGCTTAATTCGAGTAACCTAATTTGTAATTTCCTTCGATTTGATTACCTCATAGTTTATTTTTCACAAGCAAATGTTATAATGTGTATATTAATTAATGAAATATATATACATATATATTTTTGATGAAAAATATATATTGTCTCTGTAATAAAAGAAAATGCAACCACAAAAATAATAGATAAAATAAATATTTATAAAATTATGTATGGAATTTATAAATACACGTTTGTGTAAGTATATAATTCGGTGGACGTTGAATAGGATATACGTACACATGCATGCAAAAATGGTCTTCAACGCATATATATTATAAGGTCAACGTACGTCAAAAACCCTGCCCATGCATGCACTAACTAAAAATTGTATAATTAACTAATTATTTATTTTATGTGAATTGAACTGGTAAATAATATACTATTACTCGACCTTATCTTCTTCGTCTTTTTTCTTACAGAATATTATGCAATTATTAAGACAAATTATAATTCATAGAAATCTAATGTAGAAATTAGAAGAATAGCACATCTGCGTTGGCTGTAATTAAATTAGGGTTTCTTTTATTAATTAAAAAAATCTAGATGGGCTCTATTGTTGTACTTATGTTTAATTAAATGTGATAATCTTATTAATTCGTAATTGGGAATTAGAGAGGTGTAAAATAAAGAGTTCCAAATTTATGAATTTTAGTGTTGAAAAGACAAAGGGTAATTTAGTCAATAAAAACCTTCTACACATGAATATATAAATTTATTTATAATTAAACAAACGAGCCGATTTCGAACCTAATTTAGTTGTTTTAACGAATTGTAGTCCAATTTAACGAGCTCGAACTTTTCGAGTTTGATATTTTGAGCTCGAGCACGCTCGAGCTAGAGCCCATTTGTGTGTGTGTGTGTGTTTTCATAATTTTTATAGTTTTTGAATATTTTATTAAGATTATATTGTGCATTTACAATTTTGTTTCTCCAAAAAAAATAGCACATGCTTTGAACGGTGGGATTTAATAAATGGCCAACATCTTTGAATTAAATGTTTGTAATTATTGAATGGGGCACCAATAAATAAAATAGTGCATATTTTCTATTCTTTATTCTTTTAGTGTCCTTCATTCAATCTGGGTCATGATTGAAATAGGAATATAGTTTTTTTTCTCATATGATATTATTGGGTCTTATACAAATGTTCTATATGCTTAAAAGTAACATATGGGGTGTATGAGATGCTACATCGATCCGATGAAAAGTATCCGATGATTTTGTACAATAAATTTATAAAATTAACTACAGTAAATATACATACACATTGGTGTGTTTTATTACAAAATATAGATCAATATAGTGCATGATTAATTAATGTATTTCACTGGAAGTAGCATCTACAAAACATAACTTCTGGTTATAAGTTATTTTCAGTCGGGAATCAGGATTCCGAAAAGGTGAAATAGAAGTTTACGGAGGTTTGGGGACAATACCCGATTTTTTTAGAGGTATATACACAAAATAATCCAAAATGAGTAAATATTTATAAAATTTAATTAAAATAGTATATATTAAAAAGTACATGGTCTACTCAAAAGATATTATCACTAAAACTCATCAAAAGTACATATTAAGTAATGTAGGTAGGTGAGTGTTCAGGGTTGCTAAAAATAAAGGAAAAATGTGTGAACATATTGACATTTTTGGATAGAATAAAAATTATATTGCATAAATAGTAAAAACTTTAATCTCTTATAATTATTTATTTATCATCATTCTTTTTGTTGTTTCTAATTATTTAATAGGGATTAGGGACTGAGATTGTAAAATAAAGTGTGATATGATTATTTTTTTATATATATAATTAAATTAAAAAGTCAAGATACTATTTTTCAATAGGGGCAAACTCCAATTATTACTATTATTTATTCATTTTTTTTTACAAAAAAATAACAAGCAAAAACTTTATTAACAAAGAAATTATCATCTCATATATATATATATATATATATATATATATATATATATATCATATACTCCCTGATGTGTTTTTTGCTGGTTTGAATTTAGAGATATCAACCAGGTCACCAAATAGCTTATCCTCGGGCTTCGACGGCTTTCCGGGCCCCACCGAAACCGAATAAGAAGAATGTCTATTACCATCGACAGATAATCCAGACATATTTTGCTCAAGAAACTGCCCATTTTGGTACTGTTCACTTTGGTTGTTATAACCATAGCCATAACCATAGTTATATGGGTTGCCATACATTTGTTGAGGATATGTATAACCCATCATTTGGTTGGTCTGCATAGTTACCTGGTTGTTAGTTGCCGCCACATGGCCGCCAGTGATTGGCTGAGAGCCACCGACTAGTACTCCTACTTGCGATTCTTGATGATGCGTATAGGCCGACTCAGACTCGCTGTTGTCTGGTTGAGCTTCCCATGGGGGAGGAGGTAGTGAGCTTCCGCTACTACTTACGGCACCTATAAACGAAATTTATAAAAAATAAAAAAATAAATAAACCAGAGAACAAAGATTACAATAATTTCTAATTAATAATTTCAAGACTCAATTTATTCTTTAAAAAACAGAAAAGAGAAAAAAGAAAAAAAATAACCAACCGTAAACGGGCGAGGGTGGCTGCTGTTGCTGGGGTATCTGACTGTTCCAGGGATTATGCGGTGATGCAATAGGGCTCGGTGGCTGTGAGTCCAGCGGTGAATTGAAGCCGTCTCCACTCAAAAGATCTATATTATTGGAATCACCTTTTGTTGGAGTTGTCATTTGACCGTTATTAGTTGCTGGAGGAGCCAAGAGCAATAACTGTGTCCCTACACTATTGCTCGACGAAGATCTGTAAACGAGAAAAAAAAAATTATAAAATTTATACATTTCACGTTTTAATTAGAAAATCGGAAACTTACCCTTCTTCTGACTGTTGATCGATGGTGTCGATAAGAAGAGAGTCAATATCGACCAAGGATGGAGCAGCTCCCGGTTTTATTATATCCTCGACAAGTTTAGATCCAGAGGAAATAGATTCGTGTTTAGCCAGTACACGTTGCAAGTCGTCGTTTAGTGCTAGCCCTTGAGATAATAGTGCTTCATCCCTACATCACGAAAGCATTTCAAGTCTAATTATTAATTAAGGCTGTTTATTTAACCTTGTAATTCCTTTTTTGCCCTCAATAGAACTCACTTCCATTTGATTAGAAATCTTTCAACACAATTAGGAACCTTACAAAAAATACAGAGGACTTTGGGAAAGCTGCATAAATACAAAACGTAAATTTGGAAGATTTCGAAGTAAAAACAAGGCCTTACGTAGTTGAGTTAACGAGGTGTACCACGTTACGTTTAAATGTACGACACTGTTCCACCAGATCAACAATTGTCTCCTGCTTGATTCCCTGCCGTTCGAATAAGAAAATGATCACATTTTATCAGTAAAAAAATGTGAAAATTCATCGATGACATTTTGGTCAATCTTGTAACAAAAATATTCGGATCCCAAAATTTCATAACCAATGATACCTCTTTGTTATCAGGATCTAAGGCATTCAGCATTTCTGCAAGGACATCCATAATACCGCGCGCATTTTCAATTTCTGTCATGCTGACATTAAGAAAAATGACCATAAAAAAACAAAGATAAAAAACATCAAGAACATAAAACCAATAAACCAAGAAGTCGAGAAGCAGCCATAGTTTCTGAAAATCAAACTCTAATTTGACATGCTGGCAACCATACAAATCCACAAAAAAAAAAAAGGAAATTTAATGTTTCAATACAGAGAAATTGTACCTCAAAGTTGGAAATTCATCTTCTCCAGACGAGTCAACTGGTCTAGATTCGGGAGTACGAAGATGTCTTGGATAAGAAGTCAAAGGATGTGTTTGTGGAGGTGTGAAAACAGGCGCTGATGTGTCAGGTCTCCGAGGGAAAACTGCCCCAAGACGCTGACAAAAATGCCATAAAATCACAGAAACGCAAATAAATAAGCATCGTCATTGCAAAATTAAATAAGTGAAAAAGATTATTAAAATGTGATACCAATAATTCTTGGTAAGCTATAAAATATTGGGGATATCTTGCCCTTGGTCCTCCAAAAGCTTCTTGCCACGTATCTATTAGAATTAATATCTTCTCTTTCACACGAAACTCCGGCTGCAATAAACGAATTTTTAGTCACCAAAAAAATTCGGCGAAAATATGTGTAAAATTACAAACGAAGAGTAACCACAATACATGAATTAAACAATACCTTCTTTTTCACAATTCTCACCATCTCGTGGGGTAACTCTTTCTCGGCAACGTGCATGTGGATAATATCACTGCAGTTCTTCACAATGGTCTCTAATAGCTACAAAACAAAAGAGAAACATGCAACTTTAGTCATCAAAACATTGACTAGGTCAATGCAAAATAAACGGTCCATGAGCTAAAGTTGAACCGGAAATCATCATTACCCAAATTAAAAACCACAAAGATATAAATTACAAAAGTTCATCCAAACGCATCTCGTTTGAAGATAGACAAATCACTTAAAAAAACTAATCTCAATTGGATTCGTCGTTAACATCCCAATTTTGACAAACTGTTTAAGGAACTTGATTGAGTTTTTATAACATTGATGCAGAATGTCAACATTTGTTTGCAGTTCAGTGCTGTTATAACTTCTCCCTTATTCGATTACTCTCAAATCATTCCACACAATCCATTATAAAAGTACGTATACGCAATAAAAATCGAACGGCATACATACATGCGTCTTCGAGAAAGACAATTCAAGCTTACTGTTAAGGCAAGAATCTGGACTTTTGAGCTTTTGCTTCGAATGCGCTTCTTTATACCTCTTACAACGTCTTTTGCTTGTCTGAAGAAAAAAAAAAAAAACTATGATTTTTGATCCTCTGTTTCAATAAAAATTAAAAAATAAAATCAAAAAAAAATGTATTTATATATGTAAATTAGCAAAAACAGAAAATTACGCAGGATCGTGATTGCAGATATCACAGATCTCGATGTTCATCGCCCAATCTGGTCCGATCAGCATATCGCTCGTCGCTCTTTCAACCATCGGATTCACCATTTTTTTCTTCCTCTCCTATTTCAGAAACCCTCGCCGGAGGTAAATCTGAAATAGCAATCGGAGTTGTTCCCGGTGGAAACTTCTACAGAAATTCAACGATTAACCCCGGGAATTGAGCTGTAAACTGACTCATCAACGATTGATTAATATCAGAGGAGAATTTCAATCTCCGTACAAGATGCTTACGACCCTAAATCATCACGCAAATGCAAATGATTAATAAAAAAAAATTAATGATGATTTTGAAAAGAAAATCATAAACAAACAATTATGCCATACAATTAGGATCGGAATTTTCTGTTAAGAACTTTGTTTAATTTTTTACTATGCTTAAGTAAATTATTTTTTATATATTATTTTGGGAAAAATGCAGTTTTCATCCATTAAGTTTGCATTGATTCTACATTTGGTCCCCCTATTCTTAAAAAACACATTTAGTCCCTCATGTTTCACAAATTCAACACTTTTAGTCCATGTCGTCAATTTTCCATTAAAACTAACGAAAACAAGCGTGTTCCCATCAGTTTCTTAACTGGAAAACTAACATTAAATTGACGGAAATGACAAAAAGTGTTAAGCAATGTTTGGAAGCGTTTTGGAACTTATTTTGATTTCATTTTGAGGAAATATGTTTTGGGGAAAGAATTTGAGAATGAAAGTAATGTTTGTTTATATTTTGGAAGGAGACAAAATACACTGTAGCAGTCACATCATGTTTAAAAGTGTTAGAAAAAAGTATTTTAGAAGAAAAAAATTGAAAGATGAAGTGATATTTATTTGTTTTTTAGTGAAGACATTTTTTTAGTGTAGCAGTCAAATCATTTTACTGTAGGAGTCACATCATGTCTGAAGGAGAGAAACTTTTGAGATTGTTTTGAGAAAATTATTTGAGAAGTGTAATAAATGTAATTTTGTTTTTGGGAATCAATGAAAACAAAATAAAAACACTACCAAACATGGGGGACCAGACGTGGAAATAGTACAAACTTGAGGGGTCAAAACTATAATTTTCCCTATTATTTTATTATTTTTTTAATTAATAATATATCAAATCCAGTTTCTAATTATGATTAATAACGTAGTTGAACCCGGGAACGAATTTACTATTATAATATCGAATTTATGAAATGCGTGCCAATTCTCCATCAGGTTTATTAAATAATAATATCCTGTGGTAAGGCACACCGTAACAGCGAAACACCCTCGTTTTACGTGCCATCGAAATCAAGTATTTTAACTATTTTTATCTTCTTGTACAGAAAGGGATAGTTAAAAGGGGCCCCACACATTTTTCGCCACGTCACCGCCCCGCTTTCCTTAATATAGATCCGCGTGCCCCCGCCACACCGAGTCAATAGTCTGGAAAAAAAAAACAGAAAAGCCAAGGCGTAAATTAGCAGAAGCCAGTGACAAATTTCGTGAAACTCGCTAAAATGCACGGAGGGAATGCTTCTGGATCATCATCACCAGCTGATCGCAGGTTGAGCGCTCTCGTTCGCCATCTCGAAGGATCCTCGCGTGACGGCATCGACGCCGGAAACCACTCCATCGCCGCCGCACCAACCTCTGGCTCTTATGGAGGCCGAAATTCTGTCTTCGATCATGTTGTTATGGGGCCTGAAGATCCTATTCTCGGCGTAACTCTCTCTCTCTCTCTCTCTCTCTCTCTCTCTCTCTCTCTCTCTCTCTCTCTCTCTCTCTCTCTCTCTCTCTGTGTGTCTCTCTCTCTCTAAAATTTTCAAGCGGTGTAAATTTATCGTAACATTAAAATATACTTACGCGAACAGTTGATACTTCAAAACAAAGAGGAGCTTAGAAATTAATTAAACCTTTTATAAATTTAAATCAATCGTGTTTGTTGATGATCTCCAACCTCGATCCTTGATTCTCGTGTGTGTGCGCGTGTGTGCGCGCGTGTGTGCACGCGCTTGAGATGATTTCGTGATGTTACAAAGACTGTTCTAGTTTAATTCTGTTATTTCCTTTTGGGGAAGAGGTTTTAATTTGAATATTTTAGATGATATATAGTGCTATTTATTACAGAATTTTGTATGTAGGATTTAGCAATTGAAAGTGAAAAGGAAATCTATATTATATGCATTTGTTTCGTTGTGATGAGTATCTTTCGTAAAATAACTATTGACGAAACAAATTTAGATTATATGGAAATTTAGTAGTCGAAATTCCAATTTATTCTTCCTCGTTGTTTAAGTACGAAAATATGACGAAAATATGAACGCTCCGTGAAACTTTTGAATAAATAGGTCACTGTTGCATACAACAAAGACCCGAGCCCTGTGAAGATGAATTTGGGAGTTGGTGCATATCGAACAGAGGTGAAGATTCTTTCGAACTTAATTTAGATTATAGTAATATTTTATCAGTAGCTTGATTTGTATACATTTTGTCTATACATCTTCAGGAAGGAAAACCTCTTGTTTTGAATGTTGTGAGAAGAGCAGAGCAGATGTTAGTGAACGACAGGTACGAATAGCTTTCTCGTTATTACAGTATTTTGGGATAATGAAGATTTATCGAATTGGTTTTTGAGGTTGAATTATGTGCAGCTCTCGAGTGAAGGAGTATCTTCCGATCGTTGGATTGGCAGATTTCAATAAATTGAGTGCCAAACTCATACTCGGTGCTGACAGGTAAATGTTGTTTTAAACATGACAGTCGTTGTCAAAACGCCTAAAATAAATGGTGTGTTCGTTAAATATTTCGTTCTTCGTTGCTTTGTACATAGTCCTGCAGTACAAGAAAACAGGGTCACTACTGTTCAGTGCTTGTCTGGTACAGGCTCGTTGAGGGTTGGAGCTGAGTTTTTAGCTCGACATTATCACCAAGTAAGTCTATATATTCTCCGTTTTTCCATCTATTTTGTCTTTTCTCAATAGCAACAGCTTGCATATTCAGCTAAACTACCTTTGTGGCATTTGCAGCACACTATTCTAATTCCACAGCCAACGTGGGGAAACCATCCAAAAGTGTTTGGTTTGGCAGGATTGTCGGTAAAGACTTACCGCTACTACGATCCATCTACTCGTGGACTCGATTTTGAAGGTTTCTATAATTTTTTTGAAGTAAAATATCAAGATTTTCGTTAGAGGGATTTGCAATATTTTATAATTTTTTTTTATTTATATTTTTCCTACAGGCTTGATGGAAGACCTTGGATCTGCACCTTCAGGAGCGATTGTGCTTTTTCATGCATGTGCTCATAACCCAACCGGTGTTGATCCTACTGCTCAACAATGGGAGCAGATTAGACAGCTGGCAAGATCGAAGGCTCTGCTACCCTTCTTTGATAGTGCTTATCAGGTAAATTGAACTGTAGCTTCATTAATAGCTTCTGAATCTTAATTAGCGATTTGGCTAATCCGTTGAGTATCGAACATATATATATGTATTGATTTTCGAAGTCGAAATGTTGTAGGGTTTTGCCAGTGGAAACTTGGATACAGATGCACAGTCAGTTCGGATGTTCGTAAAAGATGGGGGTGAATGTATTGTGGCTCAAAGCTTTGCGAAAAACATGGGGCTTTATGGGGAGCGTGTCGGCGCCCTAAGCATTGTTAGTGCTTCGATTGCTCGTATCTCCTATGGTCCGATGAGATATTGCAAGTTAAATAAAATGCTAATTTCTTTTATTTGTTTTTTTTCAATTTACAGGTTTGCCGGAACGCTGATGTGGCAGGCAGGGTGGAGAGCCAGTTGAAATTGGTTATAAGGCCAATGTATTCGAATCCTCCCATTCATGGAGCATCCATTGTGGCAACAGTCCTCAAGGACAGGTATTACATGTTTCTCTATATTCACATTTTTCTTTTAATATTTTGTAAAAGAATAATAAACATCACGTAAAACGATCAAATTGATAAAGAATGATAGATACCCGAATTTCCTATTATAAAATCGATAACAATACCTGCAGAAATATGTTCCAAGAATGGACGGTTGAGCTGAAGGCTATGGCCGACCGCATTATCAACATGCGCACGCAACTATTCGACGCTTTGCGTAGTAGAGGTAATTATTATTACATATAATGCCGTCTTTTCTTTCCTTTTTGAATATTTTTTTCTTCACTTTTCATCTTCGTACATCGGCAGGCACACCTGGCGACTGGAGTCACATTATCAAGCAAATTGGGATGTTCACATTCACTGGACTTAACTCGAAACAAGTAGCCTTTATGACAAAGGAATACCACATCTACATGACCTCCGACGGGTACAATAATTATTAATCGGAAACTCTCTATATATAATATACATTTATATTTTAATCTAAACCGTGTCGTATAATTTTGTGCAGGCGAATTAGTATGGCTGGTCTGAGTTCAAGGACAGTGCCACACCTTGCAGATGCAATACATGCTGCTGTTACAAGACTTGCCTGAGAGTGTTCTTCAACACTCTGATTTTATTTCTATCTTTTTTTTTTTGTGAAAAATAAATGACGTGGACCAAACACTTCCTAGGGCATAATAAGGTTCTGTAGTATCAGGTTATTTGTACTTCTTCATAGCTAAATAAATTTATATGTTTTATTTTAATTTATAATTTATAATTTATTTTTCTCTTTAGTTTATTTTAATTTTACAAATATCCGAAACAAATATCGTATTTAAATTTGTAGATTTACTATTTTAATTTTATAACTTTGGAATAAAAGGACTATAAAATAATTAATAAAACCAAATTCATACATCTCAAGAATAATAAATTCATATATTTGCAACTAATGTTTTTGCAAAGTAGAAATCAATGACTAATACCATACATATATATTTATACTGAATCAGACAAAACATAGATTGACTTGCACAAATTTTAAAGATTATTAAGAAATTACACTACCTGCAACTCTTCAGCAGATAAGAAGAGGGGCTCGAGAAACTTGTACTGCTCGATGATTTTCCGGTTTCCTTCCCGGGCGTTCCACATTCGCTAAAATCAAGAGTCCGTCTCTCCGTCTGTAATAATGTCCAAAATTAAATCACTCGACTTTAACACTTCAATAATTAACGATAACAATAAAAATGCGGAGAAAGTCGATACCATGAAATTTGAAGCCAAACTTGAATCATGTTGTTTCGGAGAGTTTGGACTGCAATTGTTGTTCTCCTTTTCTTCTTCTTCCTGATTTACGGAGCTTTTCCCCATCATTATTGTTTCAGGAGTATCACCTCCCATAACATCCTGTGCATCAGCTAAAGCGCCAGCTGTCTGCTCGCCTAATTGCTTCATTAACCCAATGGCATCATAACTTCGGTCACCTGGGCTCAGAAAGTAACCGATGTCCTACACAATAACTAACTTTAATAAGATACGATGCACCAAAGGAAATAAAAAATAATAATTCTTTGACCAAAAAGATTTCAGAAACCTCGATTGTTATATCCGTATCGACTCTTGGCCCTGGCACAAAAGTGTTGATAAACCAAGGTGACTTCCACGGTGAAGGAGATTCCAAACTCCTCTTAAACGGCGTCTCCGTAAATCTGGAAAAAAAATGATCGTAAAAAGAAAAGATAATGGATTTAGAAACAGTGAAACACCATTTAAACTACAGAGGGAAATGGGAAAATTGGAATAAGCAGCCACAGTTGACTTACATGCTATTGCTTTCAGAAGCAACACCTTTTCCAGAACTTTCGATTTTTTTCTCCAAGGGAGTCGAGACCAAATTAGTCCCATCCTTCTTTGCGCAAGGCCGAGGAGAGCAAAGAACAGAAAAGCACGACTCGGCGGAAGACAAAACAGCTCCGTTCTTCGATGCAGCGTCGAATCTTCGAGCGTACCGATTCCCAAGAGCTCTGGCACTTAGACCGAGTGCTCTATCGGTCTTAATTCCGAAACGGTCCGGGGAAAAGAATATGATGTCATTCGTATTGTGGTCAACAAGAACTCCTGAAAGCTCTTTTGCCTGCCAAAGTGAAACAGTACCAGATTAGATTTGAAAAAACTTCACCAATGTGAAAAAACCCTGTATATAGATTTTTGAGAAAGCAATAAGTTATTACTTATTAGTTAGTAAGCAAAGAATACTTGATGTTTTTTTGATTCGATTATTCATTCTGCAACAAACTCTGGATTCAGCAGTTATTTGCATTGGTAAGATAACGAATATTCTGAGAGGGACCCTATTACATTACCAGTGGAGAGAAAAATTGCGAGAGTACTTACTGTTTCTATTGAATCATTATCTCCACCCTTGGTTCTGACATCTGCAACAGCAAGTTCATTTGTCTTGTTCAAACACACAGTGCCATTTAACTCATTCGATGAAAATTTGCTTTCTGAAACGATCATGCTCCCATTGCTCTCGTTTGCCGCCTGTCCACAAGGAGTTGCATTTTCTTTTTCAGTACAAGACGCTCCAAAGTTTCTTTTGTTGGGAGATAATGACAGCACTTGTCCTTCTTCGTCTATAAGTTCATCAAACATAACCTCTAATCGGGAAAATTCATTGGTTGGATTGGAAAATGACCCTTGCTTTAAGCAAGCTTCAAGCTTCTTTTCACCTCTTTTTTCTGACAAAGGAGACAGCAAATCACGGTGTCTTTTCTTAAGTATCGATGGTGTGCCTGTAAAAGTTTTTGCAGCAGTTTTTAGCACAGCATCGGGGCTATTATCACCTCTAGATGGGGAATCCCACAGCTTGAATGGAGTCATGGATGACATCATCAGTTGGCGGATGCCGAGTGGACTGTATTCTTGATGCATTTCACTGCCTGATTGTATCAGATCACAACTGAAAAAGGGTATATCCAAACTTGGAAAACGAGGAGGCTCGTAGAACAAAGCTCCAGAATCATTCTGCTTTACAGTTTGAATATCTTTATCCATGGAAGAACAGCACTGTGAATCACTGGATGGTGCCAAGACAAAATCATTAGCCATAACTTTCTTTGGCGATTCCTTTGCCTCATCGGAGTTATCTACACGGAGAGAGCAACCAGAATCCTTGGAATAGATAAAGTCATTGTGTGAACTTGGTGGAATAGGCTCCTCTTCATTCAGCTGTGAATAACTATACTGATTTGGATTCATATTGAACATGAACGAACCCTCGACTGTTTGAAGTTCAGTAGGGAAGGACTGAGGTTGAGCGAACGAATTGACCAGCATATCTGATGGCATATAACAAGATTGTGAAGCAAATTTCCCATCTTCAGTAATCTGGAAATTCGAACAATTATGAAGCAATGAATCTGCAGGTCCATTAATGTTGCTGTTAACATTTTCCGAGGGATAACATCCGCCATTGTCAGCCTCAGGGTATACCATCCTGCAGTCTGAAGTAGTACCCTCAACCATGTTTACCATGGAAGTACAAGCATCTAATGCAGCAGAAGACTCTTGCCGAAAGGGTACTGCTCCATGGTCGTCTTGGCCACTTATTGATGGCAAGAAAACTCCAGGTGACTCTTGCCCTAGATCAAGCAAAGACAGGTCAGGTAGCTCATTCGGATTCAGTTGCCAATCTTTCCCTGCAAAGGCCCCCCAATCTACAGAGAAATCATGTTCAAGGAACTTGTCATTCAGTTCACAAGGTACTTCTGATGGCGCAAACGTAGCTTCTTGATATGTGGGACGATAATCTTCGGAACAAGGAATAGAACTTGATTCTTCGATCGCTCTGCAGTCCCCTGTGTGATGTGCAACTGTGTTGTTGTTTGTAGATTGAGACAAACCGGCAAGAGTCGAACCTTGACTGCATTCAGAAGCTTCCTCCACTTCTGCTTCACCTTTAACAACAGTATTGTCTTCACTACTTTGTTGTGCCTTAGAAGAAGAGGAAGCTGCCGAATGATTAGGATGGCTAACGGGAGGCAGACCTTGGAACTGTGAGAGCAATCCTGAAGCCAAATACATGTCCAGTTTCTTTTTGACAGAACTATTCCAATGGTTTTTTATTGCATTGTCAGTTCTGGTGGCACACGTGGGCAACAAAAACAATCAAAATGAGAAATAGCCCGGGGAACTAGCATATAAATATAGACATAAAAGGCAACTAAAATAAATTCATGTACCTCCCAGGCAAGAACTTAGTTAACTCTGCCCACTTGTTTCCATACATTTGATGAGCTTGAATCAAAGCCAATTCCTCGTCTTGTGTCCAAGCTTCTTTGTTTATGTTGGGATTAAGATGGTTGTGCCACCTGAAAATTTTGATAATGTATAAGGCACAATTATTGATTAAGAAAAACTGAAAAGGATCTGTAATACTCACTCAGTATCTGAAACATGAAACTTATTAAGTTATTTCCGGAAAACATAAATGTAAAGTGTAAACTACAGATTTCAATAGTACCTTTCTCGACATTGCTTTCCAATACGCCCAGGAAGATGCTGTGAAATCGTAGACCACTTTTTTGGCCCATATCTTTCCACCAATTCAATCATTATTTCATCCTCCTGGTCACATACCAAAAGAGTAATTAAACGGGATCCCGCTATTTTATGAAAGAAACAAATGAGGAGGTAAATGTATCATAAAATGGATACCAAACCCAGCACAAAATAAGAAATGGCTAACCTCTTTCGACCATGGACCTTTGACAAGATCCGGATTAAGAACCTTCTGCCACCTATGTAAGCACTGTACATCTGTTCGATCCTTGAAACACTCCGCTAAATAAGCACAATATGAATCCAATCAACAAGTTAGATTTTGAGCTATTGAATTTGTATTAAAGATTGGCAACTCATCTGATCTGCAGTAAAATGTATTTATGGTGAATAGATAACTCTGTAGAGGCCCTGGCTTCTACAGAAAGCGATTTGTTAATATAATGTTTTCTTTTACATTCAAAATGTGATCCTACTTACCAAACAAATCCGACATGATTTGACCCCTCTAATACAAATTTTCTTCTCCTAAAATACAAACAAGCATGACTTGTTTACTTCCATTCTCTATTCGCTATCATAAAACAACATAAAGGTGAGCCAAGTATAGCTGCATTAACAATGCATCGGAAAACACATAATGCTTTTCCGGTATCAAAAGCATGTAAAAGAATGCATTCATTTTTGTAAATATTTACTAGGCACCCATTAAATTGTAGAGACCGACAGGCATGATATGAGGATATGTGGTGTTAGGAATACTAAGAGAAATTAGAGAACATGTGAACATATTTCTCGTTAAACAAGCAATAGAACATAAAGAGCCTAAATTCATTTCTCTACCTATCTTTTTCCAGTTTTTTCCTTTGAAGCGTTCAACAGCCATTCGCAATATCTCGTCCTGTAATAAAACAACAAAACAATTATTTAGAACCACAAATTACCAAATTCTCATTTTCACAACCAAATGTAAATGAAAAATGGATAAACTGACCATCACATGTTATGGATAAACCTTCTAAACATATTCTCACAGAAATATACAATTATGAAAACACGATTTCCGGATTCGGACAGATAATTATGAACTAAGGAAAAGATTCAAACCAACCTCTTCCGCGGTCCATTGTCCCTTAGTGGAACGCCGTGTAGGGCCACTTGTCCTCCTGCACAAATAAGTATGAAAAGGTCATACATTATGTAGCACGAGTAAATGTGTTTTACTTTGTGTGCTTTGTTATGACTTTGAATTGAATGAAGGAAAGAAGACTCTCTAATTCTTATCCGAAAAAAGTTCGCGAAACTAAAAAAATGTAAACGGCAGTGCGGCATCATATTTTTCGAATATTGCAGCACTCCTAAAATGTAATGTAACCCAGTTAACAAACAATACTAGTATCAAAATAGAATGGATGGAAGCCTAAACATGTTACATACTACATTATAAAACAAGATATGAAATAAGCAATGCGAATAGTTGTGTTCTATGTCTTCGAAAAGATTACCCATGTAAAGGTCGAGCTCTTGGTACACTGTTTCTGACACCATCTGATTCAGTGGTTTGGCTTGTCTTATCACTTTCCATAATTTCTTGACAAAAATCTGCATAGGCCAATACGGAGATGTAGGCAATGTTCTCCAAGAGGTCTTCCCCAAATCATTATATGCTACCCGATAATGAGGTAGGCACCGTCCCAATCCAGTATGAAATCAATGACTAAGAGTATGGAAGTCAAACAACACAAATGTCAGGATGTGTACAAATAAAAATGCAGATATGCAAGCAATAACTAGCATGAACAATCACTCGGGAACGACCCACTTTCTTCAATACTTAGTTCAGATATTATCTCAATAAATCAATCGTCAAGAAAATTAGAAAATCATTATCCCCTTTGGAGAAAGAAATCAAACGAAACAAGAAAATAAGAGGGGAACCACCTAATTTCCTATCCAATGCCCAAAAAATGTTCTGGATTGAGAGTAAAGGCCGATAAAAAATTGATATATTTTTTGAAACTCACCTTACCCAAGCAAATAATTTAAAAATTCGATATTCTGAGGGCAAATCAAACGGGCAATTGAACAAGTCAATGGAGAAAACAACTCAACTCAACGAAAAGGTAAAACAGTAAAAAAAAAATTGAATGAAAAGATTAAAAAAGCAAACCAGACTCAGAAATCTCAAATTAAATTCCATCTTAAATTAGGGTCCCAAACTCATGCGCCTCCTAATAACACCACGGAGTTATTCAAATGAGGGGGAAAACGAAGAACTTATTCGAATGTCATTTTCCAAAATTGAATTGACAAATAAGAAATTAAAATCGAAAGGAAGAATCAGAAACTCACCCAGCCGAGCTTGACGATTTCCAATCGGACAACAGAAATACAATTCCGACCGATCAAATCAACCCGCATTTGCAGATCGAAAAGAAAATTCAGATATATCTGTACGTACAACAACAGTAGAGAAACAAAAGGATCTGCTGATGTTCGGCGAATTCGGAAAAAAAAAGTAAGCGGATGTCAGTGTGTGTACTGTGTGTTCTAGAGAGAGAGAGGAGAGAGAGAGAGAGAAGAAGAAAAAAAACAACGGTACAATGAAATTCAAAATAAAGAGGGATTTTTTTGTTCAAACCCTGAAGAGAAACTTTCGGACAGGTAGGAAATTACTATATAATGCCACGTG